TTGGGATCATTTTAATTTTCTGGAAATTTAAAGGTCTCAATCATGTTCCACTTAAGTTTCTATATTATTTCTTTTAGCTAATAGTTGTAAAGATTTTAGTTGTAGGGATCTAGTGCTTAAGGAAACTTATTAGCTTCACAAGTGAAGACATATTTCTTCTTTCCCATTTTAAACCATTCACAGTGATCTATATTTTGTAGTTTGCACTGATCGAATATTTCGTTCAATTTTTTTATCTCCTCCTTCCCCTCTACAGCTTAAATATTTTTCTCATCTTTATTTAAATGGAACGACCATTCCCTTTTAACATATGTTTCTATGGTTAACTCAGGAGTAGGTGTTTGTGTTTTCAAAAAAAGGATTTAAATCTAATCCTGATCCTCATTAATATCCATTTGATCTAAAATTATCACCTTAATCTCTTCTTATTTGATGAAGAAGAAGATAAAATCAGTAAAAACTAATTCTTGTTCCTTTAATTATGAAGATTCTACAGCAGTTTATAATTCTAGCTCACCATTCTTCTCATCTTCGAGATGCTTTTAATAGAAATGCTGGATCTTAGCATGCTACAATCCTCCAAAGCAGAGATAATTTTTCCCTTACTCCTAAACATGGAATAAGTCAGGCATATCGAAAATATCAAATTAATCCTTCAAAGGTCCTTAAAAGGCCAATAAATCTTCGTACTTATTTTTGACCAATTCCATGCCAATAGCGAAAACCCACTCAAGTTTTTCTTATTTCAACTTCTGAATGTCTATTACATCCTCCTTTTGAACTAACTACTAAAACATTGATTATTCTTCTTCGCTATCCCATGCATTATTCTCATTTTAAAAAATGATCCCTTTTTCTGTGGTATTCTGCCAATTATACCATTGTATTAATTATTCCAGCCCATCCATGATTTTGCTCAAGTATTCAAACGAATTAACGGAATTTTTACCTTGCTTGTCTAATCTTACTACTTCTTTAACTAATTTATCCATATAGCTCTGCTAAATTACATCTATCCTACAATTTTTATTGATTTATTTTTTAAAACACTCCATATTTCACTGAGTATGAATGACTCTAATCCCTCTACCATTTATAATGAAGCTTCAGTAATCAAATAATAGCTCAATTATTAATTGTACAACAAAAAACTCCAACTTTAAAATTTATCTCTAACTCATGGGGTTTTGGGGTTTTGGGG